TTCTGAATATCAGCTACAACCACGTGACCAGTTGCAGAAACGAGGGCTGTAATTGTTATATTTCTTCATTGTATATGTGCATCAAATATTTTATGTTATGAACTGTGAAATGTAAATAAGATTAATGTGTTTTGGTTGTACATGTGTTAGCATATCATGTTAGGTGCAAATATGAATTTATAATTGTCCCTATTTAGAGATTATATATGGTTAAGAAGATGTGTACAACTGCCAAGTTGACAAGGGATGGACTGTGATAGTTGGAGCTGCGTGTCAACTTGACTAGACAATTCTGTGTGGTTTAAGCAATTGTGATGTGGGTTATCCCCATGATGGGATTGGATGTATATGTTTTGAGCAACCAATCCATTGAAAGGGAGTTTCCCTAGGGGTGTGGCCTGCTTCCAGTATATTTATGGACATCCTTGTAGCGTAGTGCCTAAGGCACTTGACTGCTAACCAGAAGGCTGGCGGTTCAAACCCACCAGCCACTTCTCGGAAGGAAGGTTGGGCAATCTACTTCCATAGTGATACTGCCTTGGAAACCCAGGGAGGAGTCGCTATGAGTCGGGGCCAACTCGATGGCACATAATAAGAACACAACAAGAACAAGAGAGAAGAGACACTCTTCTGTGGATCAGGATCCTATTGTGCTGCCTACAGTTGTCTGTGAGCAAACAATCCACCATTCGGCCTGGAGATCTTGGATTCATCATTCGTTGGAGTCAACAGCCAGTACACTGCCTGCTAACCTTGAGCTCCTCAGCCCCTGTAGCTGCATGAGTCAGGAAAAGCCTCCAGTGTGATGTTTGATCCAAGAACTTGGGACTTGCCAGTTGTGTGAGCCATTTTCCTAAGATAAATTTCTCTGTCTCTGTATGTATATATAAGCTTGTCTGGTTTTGCTTCTCTAGAGAACCTAGTCTAACACAGATGTATTGACACACTAGCCACAACAATGGACTTAAACATGCCAACAATCATAAAGATGGCATAGGACTGAGGAATGTTTTCTTCTGTTACACATAAAGTCATCATGAGTTGGAGCTGACTCGATAGCAATAACAATAATAATACCTTCACTTCCTTCAGGTCTTCTTTCTATTCAAATGTCCCCTATAAAAAGGGCACAATCTATATAAAATAGATTATAAAATCTGTGTAAAATAGCAACTCACCACTACCAACACTTACTGTGTTTTTTGTCCTTAAGTGAATGAATAAAAGAATCAATGTTTATTTTTTATCAAATGCTTTTTATGTATCTATTAAATTGACCATGTATTTTTTCTTTTTATGAAAAAAAAAAAAAAAAAGCTTACAATCAGTCATGTAGATGCAATGATGGGTTTCTCCTCAACCAGAGCAAAGGAGAATGAAGAAAACCAAAGATGCACGGAAACAATTAGTCCAAGGGACTGGTAGGCCATTTGATCCTCAGCCTGTATGACCATGAGACCAGAAGAACTAGATGGTGCCTGGCTACCACTGTCAACCAGTAGGAGAGGGATCTGTGTAGGAGATCCTGGATAGAGTGGGAGAACAATATGGAACAAAATTCAAAATTAGAAAAAAAAAAGACCAGGTTTGCTGGCCTGATAAGAGCCTGATGAAACCCCTGAGATTATAGCCCCTAGTTGCCCTTCAGGTCTGGAATTGAACTCACTCCTGTGGCTTCCAGCCAAATAAAAGCCTGGCATATGGGGTGGGCACTTACAGGAGGTAGATACACTCCTTGGAGAGATCAATCATGGGAGAACAGAAGGGCAATGTATGCACAGGGAGACCACTTGGGGGGTAGGAGTGCATGGGAGGGAAGGATACAGGGAATAGATAATTGTGGGAAGAGAGCTGTTACATTGTGGGAAATTGCAGTCAATGTCATGAGACAAAATGTGTATGAACTGCTGTATGGAAAATGAATTTGCTCTGTAAACTTTCACCCAAATCACAATAAAAATTTTTTTAAAAAAGCCTGTGAAGATTTTATGAACAGCAGCACAGAACACTGTCTGATATAGTGGCAGAAATTGAGCCCCTCAGGTTCATCCCAAAAAACCTTCTGCCATCAAGTTGATTCTGACTCACAGTGACTCCATTGGTTTTCCAAGGTTGTAAATCTTTAGTGAAGTAGATTCCTTCATATTTCTCCACAGAGCAGCTGATGGATTTGAACCACCAAGGTTATAGTTAGAAGCCAAATGCCTTACCCACAATGCCCCTAGAGGCACCCAAAATATGACTGGGGAAGATCTGCCTCCTCAAAGTAGAGTCAACCTAATGATGTGGATGGAGTAAAGCTTTCAGGACCTTCATTTGCTGAAGTGGCATGACTCAAAATGAGAAAAAACAGCTGCAAATATTTATGACCTGAGACCAAATGAGTTGTGGGATGACATCAATGACATCATACATGAAGAAAGCAAAAGGTCATTAAAAATACAGGAAATGGATGTCAGAAAAGACTCTGAAATTTGCTCTTGAATGGAGAGTAGCTAAAGTGAATGGAAGAAATGATGAAGTAAATGAGCTGAACAAATGATTTCAAAGAGCAGCTAGAGAAGACAATGCAAAGTATTATAATGAAATGTGCAAAGACCTGGAGTTAGAAAAAAAAAGGGGGGGGAAGAATATGCTTAGAATTTCTTAAGCTGAAAGGACTGAAGAAAAAAATTCAAGCCTCAAGTTGCAATAGTGAAGATTTCTATGGGCAATATATACTGAATGATGCAGGAAGCATCAAAAGATGTAAGGAATACACAGAGTCACTGTACCAAAAAGAATTAGTTGACATTCAACCATTTCAGGAGGTAACCTGAACTAATCATACTGAAGGAAGAAGTTTAAGCTACACTGAAGGCATTGGTAAAAAAACAAGGCTCCAGGAATTGATGGAATACCAATTGAGATGTTTCAACAAATGGATGCCATGCTGGCACCGCTCACTCATCTATGCCAAGAAATTTGAAAGACAGCTACTTGGTGAACAGACTGGAAGAGATTTACATACGTGCCTATTCCAAAGAAAGGTGATCCAACAGAATTTGGAAATTATTGAACAATATAATTAATAGCACACACAAGCAAAATTATGCTAAAGATTATTCAAAAAATGGTTGTAGTAGCTCATCAACAGGGAACTGCCAGAAATTTAAGTCAGACTCAGAAGAGGACCTGGAACAAGATATATCATTGCTGATGTCAGATAGATATTGGCTGAATGCAGAGAATACCAGAAAGATGTTTGCTTGTCTTTTACTGACTACACAAAGACATTTGACTGTGTGGATCATAACAAATTACAGATAACCTTGCAAAGAATGAGAATTCCACAACACTTAATGGTACTTATGTGGAACTTGTACATAGACCAAGAGGCAGTCATTTGAACAAAACAAGGGGATGTTGCATGGTTTAAAATCAGGAAAACTGTGTGCCAGGATTGTATGCTTTCACCAAATTTATTCAGTCTGTATGCTGAGCAAATTATTTGGGAAGCTGGACTATATGAAGAAGAATGCAACATCAGGAGGATGGAGGAAGACTCATTAACAACATGCAATAGGCAGATGACACAACCTTGCTTTCTGAAAGCAAAGAGGATTTGAAGCACTTACTGATGAAGATCAAAGAAAGCCTTCAATATGGATTACACCTTAACATAAAGAAAACAAAAGTCCTCACTAGTGGACCATAATAAGCAACATCATGATAAACAGAAAATATTGCATTGTTCATTTTACTTGGATCCACAATCAATGTCCATGGAAACAGCAATCAAGAAATCAAATGAAGTATTGCATTGGGTTAATCTACTGCAAAAGGCCTCTTTAAAATGTTAAACAGCAAAGATGTGACTTTGAAGACTAAAGTGCACCTCACCCAAGCCATGGTGTTTTCAATTGCTTCATATGCACGCAAAAGCTGAATAATAAATATGACCAAAGAACTGATGCCTTTGAGTTACAGTGTTGGTGAAGAATGGTGAATTACCATGGTCTGCCAGAACTAGCAAAACTGCCCAGGAAGAAGTATATCAGAATGCTCCTTAGAAGTGAGGATGCAGAGAATTTGTCTCACGTACCTGAGACCTGTTACCCAGAGGAGGGACCAGTCCCCAGAGGACATCGTATTTGGTAGAGTATTAGTGAAAAAGAGGAAGACCCTCAATGAGATGGATTGACACAGCGGCTGCAACAATGGGCTCAAACATAGCAATGACTGTGAGGATGGTGCAGGTCCGGGCAGGGTTTTGTTCTGTTGTACCTGTCCAAAAAAAAAAAAAAAAAAACCAAACTCACTGCCATCAAGTCAAATCCAGCTCATAGCGACCCCCATTGGGTTTCTGAGGCTGTAAATCTTTAAGGAAGTAGATCGCCCAATCTTCCTTCCACAGAGCAGCTGGTGGGTTCGAACTGCTGGCCTTCTGGTTAGCAGCCAAACCCCTTATTCACAGGGTCACTATTAGTCAGAATTGATTCAACCGCACCTAGCAACAAAAGGCAGACATAAGGAGGCTACTGGAATAATGTAGCCAAAAGTAGGGAAAGGTAGAGGCGACAAATGGATTTGCAAGCTCTTCTGGAGTCAAGTCCACAGGGCTTGGTTTCCGGACTGGATTAAGGGGATAAAAGGAGAGGATGACAATCAGGATCTGATTTGGGCAGCTGGAGGGATAGTGAAAATCTTTCACTGAGATGAGGAACACAGAAAAAGACTTAGGAAGTTTTGTTTTGGGCCATGGTTAGTTTATGGTGTCTCTAAAACCCAACTCAACTGAGGGGTAAGACTGTTACTGGGATGACCAGAAATGCAGCTCACTGGAACGCTCGAAGCCTAGTTTGCCAGCACCAAACAGGCCACAACGCCGCGCGGTACAGCGCGCGGCCCCGGAAGGCGGGCGCGCAGGCGCAGTTCGGCGGTGGGCGCCCTCTGGCGGGCCGGCCGTGGTGCGCAGGGACCGCCCCCAGCCTCGAGTTGCCTCCGCCCGCCTCAGCCCAACATGGCGATGCACAACAAGGCGGCGCCGCCGCAGATCCCCGACACCCGGCGGGAGCTGGCCGAGCTGGTGAAGCGGAAGCAGGAGCTGGCGGTGAGGGGCCAGCACCCGGGCCACCCAGGTTGAGGTTTCGCGCCTGCCCTGGCCTCCGGGCCGCAGGCAGGCCACAACAGGCCGTTACTCCGGAGGCGCAGCGCGGCAGGCCGAGTCCCGAGGCCTGAAGACCGGGCTGCGCATTCAGCGGCCCGCGGGCGGCTACATTTCCCGGTTGTGCTGTACTGGAGCTAGGAGCCGGGGCCGGGCCTCAGGGCCCGGGGGCGGGGCGCGGGAGCCCGGGAGGTGGGGGTGGGGGCGGGGGAGAAGAAGGAAGGAGGCGTGGAAGAAGGGAAGACGCCGGGGGATGCGGGGAGGTTGTGTGGGAGCTCTAGAAAGGGCGAGTGTGGGTGAGCTTTGGGTATAGGAGCGGTGTGTCTGTGGCCTTTGGAGGTGGATGTGGGCGGGCGTGCTCTTGATCCTAGAGGAGCGAGGGGCAGACATGTCCGTGTGCTTTGAGTACTTGATTCGAGCTTGTCCGTGGGCTTTGAGGGGGATGGGGAAGGAGGCAGATGTAGGAAGGGGACTCAGTCTGTCCTTAGGATGGTGGTAGGGGGTGTGTCCTTTTTGGCACTGGGAGTAAATCCGTTGGATGGAGTTTTTGATGGGCAGGGGTGTGGTATGTTTAGGAACGTCTGGAAGGTGACAGGCTCTGGAAGGTGACAGGCGAATGAAGACTCAGTCTAGGGTATTGGGAGTTGTGGTATGCATCCGGAGTCCCAGGAGTCCTGATAGCTAAGAATCCCCTCCTCCCCATGTTTTGACTTGGGCGTGGGGGAGGCTCATCTCACCTGAAGCTGCCCTTCCAGGTTTCCATAGCAACTGGCAGCCTAATGCTGGCGGTCCTTCTGAGCCTGGGGGGGGGGGCGGCGTTGGCGCTAGAAGGCGGCCCATCCTTCTGTCTCCCTGATAAATACACCTTTTGTACCTGCAAGAGGAGGCTGCCCACATTCCGCTTCAGCTGTTTTGTTTTGTTTTGTTTTTTACACTTGGAGTTCCATGGACCCTTTGAAGTATATGTGAAATTTTGCATGTGTATGCATTTTTCTGGGTAGAGGCGCTTTGTATTCCATTCTCTTCCGAATGTGGTCCATTACCTCCAAAAGGTCGAGACTGTCTTAGTCCTTAACAGTCTGCTTCTCCTCATTATCATCTTTCTCTCTGCAAGGTTTTTGTGAAAAGTGCAGTTGAGCTTAGATTTACAAGTCTAACATCAAGATTTCGGTTTGGTCAGATTTAAAAAGCTTTACCCATTTCTCTGTTTTCCATCTTCCAGGAAACACTGGCGAACTTGGAAAGACAGATCTATGCTTTTGAAGGAAGCTACCTGGAAGACACTCAGATGTATGGCAATATTATTCGTGGCTGGGATCGGTATCTGACCAACCAAAAGTGAGTGTCAGAAGCCTGTAGTATTTGTTTTTGGGACTATATATTTCTTGGTAGCAACTTTGTGGGGAGGTGGTAATAAAGTGGTAGCTGAAAAGAGATCTGGATTTGAATTTGAACTCTGGCTCAGCCTCACTGCCTCATTGAGTAACCTTGGACAAATCCCACATCTGTAAAATAGAGAAAGTTGGCATATGGCACAGGGTTGTGTGAGGAGTAAATAAAATATAACATGTGAAAATGCCTATACGACAGCACTGTGTTATTATTTTCCACATTTTAATCATTCATGAATTCCACCTTCACAATTTTTGTCATACCTGTGTGCCTACTATCGACCACTATTTGTGGAATAGTTGTTGTTGTTGTTGTTATGTGCCGTCGAGTCGGCCCCGACTCATAGCGACCCCTCCTTGGGTTTCCGAGGCAGTATCACTACGGAAGTAGGATTGCCCAACCTTCCTTCCGAGGAGTGGCTGGTGGGTTTGAACCGCCAGCCGTCTGGTTAGCAGGCAAGTGACTTAGCCACTATGCTACCAGAGCTCCTAGTATTCTTTAAAAATGTCCAAACTTTTTGAAAATTTTCAAATCTGTAGAAAAATTGAAAAAATAGTATATAAGCCCTTGATATCCTGCACCTACATGCTAGCATGTTGTTATATTTGCTTTTTCTTTGTCTTTAAAATATATATAAGCACATACCTATATATAACTTATGTAAGTATGTGTTATATACCTATATATAATTTTTTTTTCTGAAGATAATTAAAGTATAATTACAGCAGTATGTTAACAGGGAACTGCTAGAAATTCAAACCAGATCCAGAAGAGGATATGGAATGAGGGATATCATTGCTAATGTCAGGTGGATCTTGGCTGAAAGCGGAGAATACTAGAGAGATGTTTATCTGTGTTTTATTGACTATGCAAAGGCATTTGACTGTGTGGATCATAACAAATTATGGATAATATTGCAAAGAATGAGAATTCCAAAACACTTAATTGGGCCTAGGCAAAACCTGTATTTACACCAAGAGGTAGTCTTTCTAATAGAATAAGGGTGTACTGTGTGGTTTAAGATAAGGAAAGGAGTGCATCAGGATTTTATCCTTTCACCATACTTACTCAGTCTGTATGTTGAGCACATAATCCAAGAAGCTGGACTATATGAAGAACACGGCATCAGGATTGGAGGAAGGCTCATTAACAGCCTGCAATATGCAGATGACACAATCTTGCTTGCTAAAAGTGAAGAGGACTTGAAGCATTTACTGATGAAGATCAAAGGTTACAGCCTTCAGTATGGGTTACACCTTAACATAAAAAATTCAAGAATTTTACCAACTGGCCCAATAGGCTTAATATGATAAAGAAAAGATTGAAGCTATCCAGGATTTCATTTACTTGGATCCACCATCTATGCCGATGGAAACAGCAGTCAAGAAATCAAATGATGTCTAGCATTGGACATAACTTCTGCAAAAGACCTCTTTAAAGTGTTAAACAGCAAAGATGTTACTTTGAGGACTAAGGTGCGCCTGATTCAAGCCATAGTATTTTTAGTGGCCTCATGTTTGCAAAAGCTGCACAATGAATATGGAAAACTGAAGAATAATGGATGCCTTTGAATTATGTTGTTGGTAAAGAATATTGAATATACCATGGATTGTCACGAGAATGAACAAATCTGTCTTGGAAGAAGTACAGGCAGAATACTCCAGGATGGCAACACTTTATCTCAATTTTGACATGTTAGGAGGGAGTAGTCCAGGGAGAAGGACATCATGCTTGGTAAAGTAGAGGATCATTGAAACAGTGGAAGAACTGTCAATGAGGTGGGTTGACGCAGTGACTGTAACAGTGGGCTCAAACACAGCAAAGACGGAGGACGTTAGGGGGTGGGCAGTGTTTTCTTCTGTTACATACAGGGTCACTATGAATCTGATCTGACTCTGAGGCAACTAACAACATACACAACTTAAAAAACAACTTTATTTTGAAATAATTAGAGATTCATAGGAAGTTTTAAAATGGTCCAAGAATGGTCTGGTGTACTCTTTACAGTTTCCTCCAGTGGTGATATCTTTATGCAAGTGTAGCACAATATCAAAACCAGAAATTATCATTTGTACAATGTGTATGTAATTTATCGCATATTGTCACGTGTAGATTCATGTAACTATCACTCTGATCAAAATACATAGCTACTCTTTCACCACAAAGATCTTCCTTTTTATTGTTACACCCTCCCCTCCCCCTTATACTTTTTTCCTAAACCATTTGAAAGTTCCTTATATTTCATATATTTTGTCCCTAAATGTATCAGTATATACCTCCCAAGTTACTCTTTACATTTCTCTTGTCTGACCATAATTATCTCACCTGTTGTTGTTGTTATGTGCCCTTGAGTCAGCCCCAACTCATAGCAAACCCTCCTTGGGTTTCCGAGGTGGTATCACTACAGAAGTAGATTGTCCAGCCTTCCTTCCGAGGAGTGGCTGGTGGGTTTGAACTGCCAGCCTTCTGGTTAGCAGTCACGTGCCTTAGGCACTATGCTACCAGAGCTCCTAATTATCTCACTTGCTATTGTTAGGTGCTGTTGAGTTGGACTGAACTCATAGCGACCCCTCCTTGGGTTGCCGAGGCAGTATCACTACAGGAATAGATTGCCCAACCTTCCTCCCAAGGAGTGGCTGGTGGGTTTGAACTGCCAGCCTTCTGGTTAGCAGTCAAGTACCTTAGGCACTAAGCTACCAAAGCTCCTAATTATCTCACCTGTTGTTGTTATTTGCCATCGAGTTGCCCCCGACTCATAGTGACCCCTCCTTGGGTTTCTGAGGCAGTATCACCATGGAAGTAAGTTTGCCCAACCTTCCTTCCGAGGAGTGGCTGGTGTGTTTGAACCGCCAGCCTTCTGGTTAGCAGCCTTAGGCACTATGCTACCACAGCTCCTAATTATCTCACCTAGAAGATATTATTTCTACTTATATATATGGATGTGCTATAAGAATGTCCAGATACATAATACAAGTAACTAAGGGGCAGAGTTATGGTAACTTCTTGGCTACAGCCAAACATGCTAAAGGAGTGAATAGTTGGACCTGTGGGCTTAGAACCATGGTCACAGGGGACATCAAGCTCAATTGGCTTAACATACTATACCAAAACAATGTTCTGCTTTGGTAAGTAGTGACTGGGGTCTTAAAAGCTTGCAAGCGGCCATCTAGATGCAACAACGGGTCTCTCCTTGTTCAGAGCAAAGAAGAATGAAGAAAAATGAAGATGCACAGAAACAATTAGTCCAAGGGACTGGTAGAACATGTGGTCCTCAGCCTATATGACCATGAGACCAGAAGAGCTAGATGGTGTTCAGCTACCACTGTCAGCCTCTCAGAAAAAAGATCAGTGCAGGAGATCCTGGATAGGGTGGGAGGACAATGTGGAACAAAACTCAAAAAACTCATAAAAAAAGACCAGGTTTGCTGGTCTGGTAGAGCCTGGTGAGACCCCCTGGGACTGTGGCCCCTAGTTACTCTTACCCTTCGGTCTGGAATTGAACTCACTCCTATGGCTTCTAGCCAAACAATAGCCAGGCATATAGGGTGAGCATTTACATCAAGTAGGTACACTCCTTAGAACGATCAATCATGGGAGAACAGAAGGGCAATTATTTGCACAGGGAAATAGATCAGGGGACAGGAATGCGTAGGACAGAAGGATACACGGAAGAGGTAACTTATAAGGAGGAAGTGGGAAGAGAGCTGTTACATTGTGGAGAATTGCAGTCAATGTCATGAGACAAAATGTATATGAACTGCTGTATGGAAAATGAATTTGCTCTGTAATTTTCACCAAAATCAAAACAAAAATTAAAAAATAAATTATTATGTTAATAGTATCATCTAGTTTATTATTAACATAATAATTGTTATTATGTTAATAGTATCATCTAGTAGGAGCTCTGGTAGCATAGTGCCAAAGGCACTTGACTGCTAACCAGAAGGCTGATGGTTCAAACCCACCAGCCACTCCTCAGAAAGGAGGGTGGGCAGTCTACTTCCGTAGTGATACTGCCTCGGAAACCCAAGGAGGGGTCACTATGAGTCAGGTCCAACTCGATGGTACATAACAACAACAACAACAACATCTAGTACACAGTTCTTAGTTAAATTTCCCTAATTGTCCCCAGAATACTTTGTTACTTTGTTTTGAACCAGAATCCAGTTAATGTTCAGGTATTCCATGTGGTGGTTACGTCTCTTTAATTTAGAAGAGTCCCTACTTTTATTTTTTTGCTTTATGACATCTTGTCAAATGCCCTGCATTCTTGATTTTACTTATTGTGACCTCATGAGGGACTAATAAACATTTTTGGCAAAAATGCTACATAGATAATGTGTACCTCCTTGTATCAGAAGAAGGTACATAATGTCAGATTGTCTCTCTATTGGTTCTACTGAGTTTGATCATTTAATATCTTTGTTGTAAAAGTTAATAAGGAGCGCTGGTAGTGCAGTGGTTAAAGCATTCAGCTGCTAACCAGTAAGTTGGTGGGTCGAACCTGCCAGACACTCAGTGGGAGATAGATGAGGCAGTCTGCTTCTATAAAGATTTACAGCCTTGGAAACCCTATGGGGCACTTCTGCTGTGTCCTATAGGGTTGCTGTGTTTTCCCCTTTGTAATTAGCTAATAATTTTGGGGTTATACATTTAGACAATGTGAATGAATACACTGCATTCTCAAAATTTTTATTCAGTGGTTTATTCCTTTACTTTTCTCACTGGCATTCTGAAAGAAGAGCCTTTCATTTTTGTCTGCCCTACCTTTCATTCATTCTTTTTCTCTTTCCCTCTCTATGACTACCATATCACTGTGAACTTGTGGAATTTTAAAAAATCAGTATATTGAGATTTACTACTGTCACTTAAAAAAAATGGATTCTAGAGGCTTATTTTAATTTTCTGTAGTATAACTCCACCCTCCCCAATACAGAGATGTGCACAGATCGTAGTAGGTTCTGTGACTTTGGACAAAGTAAGGACACCAATCATTATTCTTTTTAATGTTTATTATGTCCCAAACATGGCCAGTGGGAGATTTTGGGGGTTGATTCCTTTGTCTGTTTAAACTTGACCCTATTGGTCTTTGAGAACTTACTTGTTTTCTGGTCTAAAAAGATGTCTCAGGCTCATCTTGTCCTTTTCCTGCCTCAGACCAATATAAGCCATTTCTCCAAGGAAAGTTTTTCCTTTAAATTTTTTAATTAAGTTTATTTAACAGAGATAATTTCTTGTCTGTTTTGTCTTAAAAACAAAAACCAAACCCACTGCCATCAGGTCAATTCTGACTCTTGGCAACCTCCATTGGGTTTCCAAGGCTGTAAATCTTTGTGGAAGTAGATTGCCACATCTTCCTTCTGCAGAGCAGCTAGTGAGTTTGAACTTCTGACCTTCTGGTTAGCAGCCAGATGCCTTAACCACTATGCTACCAGTTTGTCCTAGTCATTTTTAATAATAAGCATAAAAATAAAAATGTACTAAAATGAAAGAGTTTTTTTTTTTGATTGTGATTTGGGTGAAGATTTAAAGAGCAAATTCACTTTCCATACAGCAGTTCACATATACTTTGTCTCATGTCATTGACCACAGTTTACCACAATGCAACAGCTTCCCTTCCACTTCCTCCC